ACGTATTTATCATCATTATCTAATACACATAATCTTTTCTGTCAAAAGGTTTCTAATGAATCAATTGTCACTGTCTATGTTTTTTATCTTTTCTTTGATATATTACTAATTCATATCTGGTTATCTCAAGTTTGAGTATCAAAAAATTTGATTGGCATAGATCAATACATTAAACTCGATCAAAATTTACATTTCGTGCATGAATAAAATAAGATATATTCGATTTGAATACTAATTCATGTGTATCACATATACATTTGAAATTTTATTCAATTATTTGTTCGATTCATAGAAATTCTGATGATGTTATTCAACAATAATTAAAAGGTTTCAACCAAATGGCACGATTCTATTCATTTTCAAATTAAACGTTATTTTTGTAGACGTCAAGATGTAATTGAAAATCAATTTGTTTCCTTTTTTTTGTATTATTTATTAAGTATTTTAGATATTCATCAAGATTCATAGTTGGTTGGTGTTGATAAATACTCATTTGTCATCAAGCTGAAAAACGAGAAAAAATAGCATCGTTGAGACAGAAAAAAATATGTTATTATGACAATACGGTATAAAAGTATTATTTTTTTTTGTTTTCTTTTCCGATTCTCTTTTGTTGACACTGTATGTATATAACATAAATTGATTTCTCAGTTTCTACTATAGAGAAATTCCTACTCCGTTTTCCCCTATTATTGACCAAGCAGAGAAACATCCATTATATATTTTTATTAGAAAAATAAAGCAAAAGAAAAAGCCTTAGATATTATACAAAAAAACTCGATGCAATCTGCTTGAAGAGGATAATCTATCAAAATATATGTTATTTTTTCATAGAAATAATTAATTTATAAATTTAGAAAAATTGAATCATCGTAAAAGAAAAACAAATAAAGTTTTATTCGGATCAGACGTTTGTTTATTCATGGAAACATAAAAAATAATTATTCATATTTAACTATTATCTTAACAAACGTCATATTTGTCAACTTGAAATTATCTTCAATCGACTTATTCTTTTCTCAATATAGTATATTATTTATTAGTTCATTGATATTTGTACATCTGTTGTTAGCCTTGTCTTTAATGATATACATACTCGAAATATTATGATCTATTACAAATGAAGTAGTTAATTTTCTTATGTAAGTAATATCATGTTGTTTTTGTCTCTTCCTATATCTCTATAGGAGACATCATTAATAATCTCAATACTTAAAAGAAAGCAAATAGTCATAGATTAATATGCTATTAATCCATTCAATACGTATTATATCGAATAAAAAAAGTGTATACAAAAAATGACAGAAGATTATTAGCATATTTACTTATTAGATATTCTTTACTTATTAAAGTGCATTTGTTCATTTTTCATATATATTAATATTTGTAATCCAAGGATTTGACTAGACCGATAAAAACGAACAGAATTGGAAATTATTGACATTAATTTATTTATTTTCTCTGTTTTCTTTCATTGCGAACATTTCTCATTCGATTATCTATACAAAGAGAAGAGACTACAATCTGGATAGGATTGCTAGATAGAAAAGTAAGGTCATCCTTTTTAGAGTGTCTATATCTTAGTTAGAATGAATTATGCTTCTACCCAAAGCTACAATCAACAACAGCTACAAGAAGAATATCTTACCAGATGGTTGCTGATTCATCAGATTTCCTTCAAAATCATAAGTGTATTCATCCGTTTCATAGAAAAACGATCATTTGTTAATGAATAGTATAACTTTTAACATCTTGATATCCAATAATTATTTTGAGTTATCAATCTTATAAATTTATCATGTGTGAAAGTATAGTGTGCGTGTTAGGGATCTTGCCATTTCCCTTCGCTCATTATTCTTTATCCTGAATCTCTTTTCATAATTAATTGAATTCCCAACACTATTCACTGTATGATTGAAGAAAATATAGCTGAGATTGACAAGTTGGCATGTTTTTTCACTTGATGAAAGAAAAAAAAATCAAACAATTGTTCTTTCCGGAAAAAATGACGTCTATATCAAATAAACAAAAACAAAATTGACTTCAACCGTCTTTGATTCAGTTCGACAACAAAAAAGTCAATCTTTACGCTTTCATCAGTAAGTAAATCATCCAACGTTGGATTATTTGTTCTGCTAACAATGAGAATAGTATTCATCTAATGTCTTGTTCCTTTATTTTGTTTCATCAAAAGACAAAAAAAAGAAAAAGAAGGAAATCATTCGTTTCATTAGAATCGACATAAATGAGATATGATGATCAATTTTATCATATATAATAATAGCACTATGATATATTAATATTTGTATTTTACAATAAAAACAATGATCTAAGATGTAAACATCGTTTTTAATTTTAACGTAATATTCTATTAGTTCAAAAATAAACAACAAACTGTTAAGTTGACTATACAGACGAGTGGTAATCAGCATAACACAGACGCATAATGTTTCTAGATATGTGATTTATGTGTATACAGAAACAACATATAAAGAATATCAGTAAATGCAGATGGAAAAAAAAAACAAAGGTCAACTAAGAGAAGTCATTTAATGCGTCACTGATAGTAAGACGATCGGAAAATGTTTTTATTCATAGAAATTGAATGTCATAGAATAGATAAATGATATCATATTCAATATATTTCCTTTGATTTTCTATTTATATTTTCATTTCGTTATAGATTTCTTTTAACATGAGTCAAAATAATATTAGTAGTACTGTTCAATTTGTTGATAAATTTAATCAAAATAATTCTGTGGTTTCAATGTTAAATGATAGTTTTATTCGCATTGAAATAACTCAATTTATACAAAAAGTGAATTTTTGGATAGCAATTATGGAAATTCTTATGGTTATATGTGGAATATTAGGTAATGGTCTTGCACTTATTGTTATAAATCGTCGTTCATTACGTGACACATCATCAAGTGTATTTATAACATATTTAGCAATATTTGATATATTAGTTCTTGTTGTTCATGTAACAAATATAGCAACATTACATTGGATTCAATCATATATATTACATTGTTTTCTTGCTTATTTAACTGATCTTGTTACATTTTGTAGTGTTTGGATTATGGTTATAATGACATTAGAACGTTGTGTTGCTGTACATTCACCATTTTTAGCCAAACGTTTTTGTACAACAGAACGTGCACGTTATTCAATATATATTCTTATGGTTTTTTCATTTATTTTATTTTCATCAACATTCCCTAATATATATGCAATAGATAAAATTCAACAAAAATGTATTGTTCGTCATCAATATCAAAAAATAATACGCATTATAAAACCAACAATATTTTATTTTGTGCCTGATATACTTTTATTAGCAAATATATTTGTTATTTATGAATTATTTATGGCTAAACGACAACGAACAAAAACATTAATGAATCCTGAAAATGCTATTCATCAATTAAATGCTGTTTCATTTAATAGAAAACAACGACAATTAACAATAATGCTTGTTACAGTTTCATTAAGTTTTTATTTCTTTACAACACCAGCTATTATTGATTATATTTGGCAAATGAATCCACCTCAACATTATGATTTAAAACGACTTAAATTACGTTTTTTAATGATGAATTTATCTGTTTTTTGGATTCAGATGAGTTCAGCAGTATGTTATTTAGACAAAAGAAAAAAAAAGAATTTTTCTTCATAATTTTTTTTTCTTTTAATTTAGACGAATTTTTTATTTTATTGT